TATAGAGTGTGATCTGATGCCCTCTGCTGGTGTGCAGATGTATATGCAGATATATGTAAATTAAATAAATAAATCTTTTTTAAAATAATGAATATGAATCCCATAGAAATATTAAAATTTCCATTTTCTCAACTGAATTAAAGTTAAGGTACCTTGAGAAAAGTTATCACATAATTATTAATAATTTGTTAAGTTTTGTTGCTTGGTAAGTAGTTTTAAAGCCTCTTGGTATACATCCCAGAAACTGAGCGAGTAAATAAATGAAACAAAGAGGATATAGATGAAGGGCCTCATAATAGATCATAAATTTTTTTTTGATAGAAAAAAAATCACTGCAATTTTTAGCATTTATTTTGGGGTTTTTACAAGGATTGCAGGATTATTACTTTATTTATTAGTCTATCTATCTCTCTATCTCTCTATCTGGTTTCGGGTTTTTGGTTTGTTTTTTTTTTTTTTTTTTTTGAAACAGGGTTTCTCTGTGTAGTCCTAGCTGTCCTGAAACTCACTCTATAGACAAGGCTGGCCTCAAACTCAGAGATCTGCCTGCCTCTCAAGTGATGGGATTAAAGGCATGCACCACTACTGCTCAGCTGAGTGCTGTGATTTTGCTAGTAAAAATATTTTCTATAACTCATCTATTTACTTGGAAAGACTTTTCCCTCAGTATATAACTCTCTAAAAAATAAAATGAGCAAAATTGATACTGAATCTTGTCTCATATAAGAAGTAATATTTCTTTACTAACCCAGGAACTGAGAAAAGTATTACACTATTCATTTCACTAAAAGATGTATTTGTAATAAAATATGTCATAGAAGATTATATCAGACTAACCCTCTTATGGATCAAAATTATAAACTTTGGACAAAAATCTAAAAGCAATTATTTGAAGATGCTGGCAGCCAGCCAAAAGCAGGCAGGCAGAAATTGAAGAGATGGCTACTCTTCAAAGGATGTTAACATAATGAGTGAGATTTATGTTCAAACATTTTGCTTGAGGGCACTTCCTACTATGTACTGTGCAAGACAGCTGGCATTCAGTCAAAAAGCTACTGTCTTACTGGGTTAAGGACTTACAAGATGCAGCTAACATTCTCAAAGCAGCTGGAAGTACAAGAGGGGAGTTCTGAAAAGGCCTGCTGAGGTACAGAGCTCCCAAATCTGCACATATACTCTACCCAAATCCTTGCTGCACAGGAGAGATGATGCAAGGATTCCAAGAAAACAACAGTTGGATTGTTGAAACACATTACCAGGAGTTTGACTCCAGACAAGTCAATTATTTGCTGGAACAACACCCATTAAGAAAGATGACAAAATTTTGAAGCTCAGTAGCTTCTATATATATATATATATATTTAACAGACATAAAAAAAGAAATGAAATATACAATTTTGGTTTGTAGTCCAGGAGTAGAAGAAACTGACTCCACTCTATCCTAGGCTTCATTTAAATGGTCATTATGTTTTCAAGGACTTAAAAAAAAAAAAGACATGGTTGTGATGAATCAATAACATGTGGAAATCTCAGAAGAAAAATATGTGGACATTCTAGAACTAAGAATAAGGTTTGGAATTCTTTTTATTTACTGAGCGAGTTATTTTATTGTATAACTAAAAGGTCAGTGAATGTGAAACAGATTAAGAGAAGTTTCCAACATAAAGAAAAGTGATGAAAACTATCTTAAAAGGCAACAGGTAGCCAGAACCTTGGGAAAATATGGAGAATTCTGACATATATGCAACAGAAAGAAAGGAGAAAACGAGACAGAAAAAAGTTTGAAAATCAACCAAGACTGGCCACTCCCTCCCCTTTTTAAAAACAAGAATCTACAGCTTAAAAACAAATTTCAGCCAAGGCTGGAGAGATGGCTCAGTGGTTAAGAGCACTGGCTACTCTTCCCAAGGACCTGGGGTTGATTTGCAACATCCATACTCTGGCTCCCGAAAGACCTTAGCAAAACCCAAGCAGGATATGGCTAAAGAGAAACAACACCACGACATAGTCATTTAAATCCAAAGACAAAGACAAAATCTTAAAATCAGCCAGAAAAATGGTGACATAGTACAAACTAGACAGGTAGACAGGCTCAGAGACAGAGTCGTGCCGTGCCATTTTTAGAACTGAACTTGGGTAAGGACAGCGGGATCAGCTGTTGTGCCTGGCATCCGGAACACTTTCTGCAGGCTCGCGTTCTGTTCCTAGGCTGGTGGGAATGATTTGGGAGGCGATGGAGCCTTTAGGAGACTGGGCCTGGCCGGCAGAAGTGAGAGTCTCTGAGGGGATGGTGCTGCTGGTTTTTGCTCCCTGTGTCTCCCTATGAGGAGTCTCTGACTCGTGTAGGCCAGGCCGTTTCCTGCTACGACGGCTTGAAAGTTCTGAAGCCATAATCCAACATGATCATGTCCTCTCTTATGTTGTTCCCGTCAGGTGTTTGAGTCACAGTGGTGCAAAAGGTGAGCAATAAATCAACTTTCAATCCACTGTCTATAGGAAATAACATTTGAACATGATGGCGAAGTCACCCCAAATAAATAAAACCTTAGACATTATCCCACCTGCTTTAAAACCAATTTTGTTTAAGTTTTTCACTGGGAAGGAAAAATGGTACTAGAGAGAAAATCAGACCCAGACCCATAAGAAGGAATGAAGACCACGAGCAATAATAAATATAAAATACCAGAATTTTTTTTTTTTTGAGACAGGGTTTCTCTGTGTAGCCTTAGGTGTCCTGGATTCATTCAACAGAAAAGGATGAAACGAACAAAATAAAAATCTCAAAATGGTGGATTTAAATCCATCCACGTCATCATTACATTATATGTAAATGGACTAAAAACTCCAATAAAAGTAGAGAACCTATCAGACTAAATTTAAAAACTGTGAGCTAACTTGTAAACTATATGTAAGAGATATAAAAAATTAATATAAAGACATTAATAGCATGAAGAGTGGAAAAATATTTATCTGAGATAAACAGTAAGCCTAAGAAAGGTAGAGAGGTTATATTAATATTAGACAAGATGAACTTCAAGGCAGGAGTAAAACTAGAGAAAAAAATAGTTCATAATAATTATTAAGAAGGCCAAATCAGAACTGGCCAGGGCTTGGCACTGATCTTGTATTTTATTCTCCAGGATCTACAGGCTGGAAAGAGGGCACTAACTTTTGCAAATTGCTCTTTGACCTTCGCACACATACATGTAATTTTTTATTTAAAAAAAAGTAAAATTATTAGGAAGTCAGAAAAGCCAACCAAGCCAAAAAAAAACCAAAAACTAATCTATAGTAATAAATATTGTAATAACGTCCTCTCGGTAATAGATGAGAAAGCCGATGTCCAAATGGGTTACCTGAACAACAATGTCAACACTTATTCACTTATAGGACCAACTGGGAGATAAAAGCCACCCAACTGCCTTGTGGTGGCACATTAATCTCAGCACTGAGAGACAATGGCAGAGGCAGAGGCAGGTGGGTCTCTGAGTTCGAGGCCAGCCTGGTCTACAGAGTGAATTCCAGGGCAGTTAGGGCTACTCAGAGAAACCCTACCTTGAAAAAGAAAAAGAAAGCAAGCAAGGAAGGAAGGAAAGACGAAAGAAAAAGAATGGACAAAACAAAACCACTCTACTATAGAATATATGCTTTTTATAAAAATGCAAACAGAATGTTTGCCAAGTCATATAACACGTTGGGCTATAAATGTCATATTTTAGCATCTTTGTTGCTCAAGCAGACTTGTCCTGGTTTGCTCTCTGTTGCAGTGTTAAATACTATGACCCAAAGAAAGCTGGGTTTATCCAGCTTACATTTCTACATCTCAACATACCATTGAGAGAAGTCAGGGTAGGAGCTCAGACAGAAATCTGAAGGCAGGAACTCCAGACCCTGGAGGAACATGCTTACGGGCTTAGTCTCTACTGCTTGCTCATGAGCACCTGCCCAGTGGATGACATCACACACAGTGAGTGTATCAATCATTAGTCAAGAAATGCTCCAAAGATATGCTCACAGGCTACCCCGATGGAGCCAATTCTTCAACTGAGGGCCCCTCTTCCCAGGAGACTATATTTTATGATAAGCTGACAAAAATTAACCAGCCCAATACTTAAACTAGAAATAACAATTTCTGGAAAACCCTTAAATATTTGAAATATTCAAAGAAGTAGGTCAAAAAAGAAACTTCTAGGAGTAATTAGAAACTACTTTCAGCTGAGCCAAAAATGAAAGCACCAAATGCAGCTAAAGCAAAGCTCTGAGGGCAACTCATAGCACTAAAGACATTATATTTAAAAAGTATAATGTTTTAATATTTACTAAAGAGCTAGAAAAGGAAAAGCGAAACAATTAAGAAGCAGAAAGAAAGAAAGAAAAGGAGAAACCAAAACAGTGAAGTAGAAAAGAAATAATTAACAGCCAAATACGGCCCTTGAAAAAAATTTCTAGGTGTCGATACATAGCAGTTTAGTCAGAGCAAAAAAGAAACTATATATTAACACTATAAGAATGTCTAAACAGAAACTCCCTGTACTCGTACCAAATAAATGTATTTAATGTACAGATTATAACAAGACTTAGGTTATGTGTTGAGAGATGCTCCCTGTTCTCTTGGACTTCCATTGCAAGCTATTAGTCAAATAAATAGACACAACATATGGACTAGAGTAACGGAAGCTCCCAGCCTTCATGGACGTTTAGCGAAAAGTGAGATAAATGTATATAATGTACACAGAGTAGTAAGGGAGGGCTATTTAGGTTGGAGGGGGATGACCTCCGCGACACCGCGCCGACCCTTGCCGTCTGCCGGGCCGGCAGCAGCTGCCCGGCCACCTCCGGAGCACACCCTCAGGTGGCCGCCTCGCCCTCGCTCGCCCCGCCCCTGGTACTTCTGCGCAGGCGTGAGGCCAGCGTCCTGGGGCTCGAGGGGCGGGGCGTGGCCGGCGGCTGGGCGTGGCCGGCGGCTGGGCGTGGCCGGCGGCTGGGCGTGGCGGGCGCGGGCTGGTGGACTGGTGAGGTGGCGTCGGTTCGGGCGGTGCGCCGCGGTTTGGCGCGATGCGGAGGCCCCGGCCCGGACTCCCGCAGCTCTGAGCGCCCGAGCCGCCTGCAGAGACCATGGCGGAGGCCCGCGAGCCCACCCGCCCCTCGGAAGACGACGACGAGGAGCGGGAACCGCTGCTGCCCCGCGTCGCCTGGGCCCAGCCGCGGAGGGGCGCGCCCGGGACGGCGGTGAGGCTGCGGGCGGACGAGGGCGCGGCCGTCCCCCGCAAGCCCACCCCGGTCGAGCTGCCGCTGGCGTCCGGAGACGCGACGATCTCCGCGAGCTCCTCCACCGAGCTGGACCGGACCCGCGGCTTGTGCTCAGGTGCGACCCGCGCGCGCGCAGCCCGCGTCCAGCCCGCCCCTCCCTGCCTCAGTTTCCTCTCCCCTTTCCAAAGCTCTGTGGCAGGCGGACAGGGACTGCTGAAGTCTCACTCGCTCTTTAGGCTCCCCCAAAGAGTCGGTCCAAGCTGGGAACCAAACACTGAGGGGAAACTTCACCCAGGACCGTGACGTAAGTTGTTTGTCTAAGCTTGGACTTAAGTTCTGAATTAAGAACTCCGAAGGCTCCGGAAAGTTCGCCTCGGAGTCGTGAGTTTACGGGGTCGATTGCAGCCGAGAGATGTAAGGAAAGAAAGCCCATTTATTTGCCTCCAGGACAAGTTTCAAAACTTTCTATTAAATGTTGCCATTATGACGTTAGCCAGAGGGGGCAGAGGCGGGTGAAATCCTGCAGCCAGCTCTCTGCAGAAGGAAAACACCTTTTCATTATCATGTGGGCCGATTTAAGCTGGTCGCCTTTGAAAGAGAGGCTAACAGACAGTATTTAAACTAAAATTAAGGCTTGCTATTGCAAGTCTGGATAGCTGTGTGATGAGTTTTGGCCCGTGGAGAGGAGTTTGGCTAGTTCGACTGAAATGGAGTAGATTTGTACGAGATCCATCTGGAGTCTAGACAGGGTTTTTGTTTGGTTGGTTGGTTTGGTTTTTGTTTCCATTGGTTTGGGTTTTTTTTGTTGTTGTTGTTTTGGTTTTTGTTTTGTTTTATTTTGAGACAAGGTTTTTCTGTGTAGCCCTAGCTGTCCTGCAACCAACAATGGACCAGGCTGGTCTCAAACTTGTAGGGATCCGCCAGCCTCTGCCTCCCAAGTGCTGGGATTAAACAAAGCCTGGCCTCTAGACAGGCTTGTTTAAAAAGCAAAACAAAAAAGCAAACCCAAAAAAAATCCTACTTTTTGATGCTAGGATGCATCCAAAGAAGTGGTATATGCGCTGTTGAGGATTATCATTCCATGTAACAGGAAAAGTAGCTGTTATTAATATTGCTCATTTTCTCAGATATTAGCTGTTTTACTTGACCTGCTAATGTGCTAATGTGACTTGAAAGGATTTTGGACAGAGCAAGTCAGGAGTTCTAACTGAACTTTTATTCAAATACAAATACTCTAAATAAGAGCCCTAAAGGCAGTGGTCTCTGAAATGCACTGGGTCCATGTCTGCCATTACCATGACATTAGCTGAGGGTTTGCAAATACCACACGAATAGAGCAAAGGGGTATGAAGTTTTCCACGTTCACAAATGAACCTCTGTTCAACCAGCTGCAGTGGACACTTGACCACCTATGATGTAGAATCCAGTCTGTGAGGTAGCTGAAACCCACATGGCTGCTGCTTGCCTTTTCTTGCCGCAGAGTTGCCTTGTGTGTTGGAGAAGTAAAGCCTTTATGGTTTGACAGGGTTGGATTGGTTTGTTTTTTACTCCTGTTTGGTGTAAACACTAGTAAGGCTAGAAAAAAGTCAAAAGAGAATAAGAATGGTCATTAGAATGCAAATGGATAATCAGAATCCCTACCTTCTCAGTGGTGATATTTATATGCCAGTTTACAGTTTAAGATGGTTTTTGTCATCTCATTAGTTCTCACAGCAGCACAGTAAGTTAATTGTCACTAACCCTCTTCTTTGTGGTGAGAGCTGAAAATTAATAAAACCGTAATGACTGGGTAGCTCCTAGAAATTTAGGAGTGAGTAAGTTTGCACAAAGTCAAATAGCCAGGAAGTGGTAAAGCTAAAACGGAGACTACCTATTTTTTTTTTTAATCAGGTTCTGAACTTTGCCCATTTTTCTATAGAAGTCTGTGTTATAAAACAAATAATTGTACACGCTGGGCATAGTTCTCTGCACTTCACATGTAGTAGATCATAGCTAGCCGCATGAAATGAGTACTGCTTTGGATTCCCACATAAGAAAGCGAGTGTGGCTTTGTGATACATACCTGTAATCTCAGCATTTAGGTGGGTAAAGCAGGACTCATGAGTTCAAGGCTAGCCTGGGCTGTCTGCTGTAAAGACCATAGTGGCCAGGGTTGCATAGCAAGACTCTCTCGCTTAAAAAAAAAAAAAAAAAAAAAGTCAAAATAAGGGGTTTTAGAAAGAAGCAGGGTTAGAGAGATGACCCAGCAGTTAGCAGAGGACCCAGCATCCACACAGTGGTTCACAGCTTTTTGTAACTCCAGTTCCTGGGCATCCGATGCATTCTTCTGACCTCCACACTACCAGGCATGCACATGATACACATACATACATGCAGGCAAACACATTCTCACCATATAATAAGATGAATCTAAAAAGTAAATAGATGAGAGGGCCAGTGAGATCAGCTGGAACCCTTGAGGCATGTTTACTCACCAAACTAATTAGCACTTTTATTAGAAGGAATTCTAGTTAGTGAGTAAGGTATAGGAAAGATGAGTCAGATTAGTTCTAATCTTCAAGGGAGGATGAGTTCTTGTTGGTTTATTTAAATGAAACCATGCTGTTAGCATGCCTGCTTATAGCCATCTAACTGTAAAAGGTAAAATAGCTTTTTAGAGTCTGTGCTTTCCAGAGCATCCGTAATAGCCTTTGGTATGGTCAGATGGATACTTTATTACCTTTTTAGACAGATTTGTGGAGGCCAGTCCATGTGATACATCAGAGAGCCAAACAAAGTTCTGTGCATTCCCAGAATTTAGGTCATTTTATTAAGGTTGTACATGTGGACAGTGAGTGGAGCTGTGGGGAAGAAGCTTGGTTTTCTGTGGGGACAGTAAAGACAATGCAGAGGGGGAGCTGGATGGACATCTTTGAAAATCAGAGACCTCAGTAAGGTTGGAGCTTAACTAAAGGCCACTGGCGTGGCAAAGATAAAATTGAGAGTCTCCTTAGAACATATTTTTGAGGGCTGATGCGGTGACTAAGAGGTTAGGAAGGCTGGTCTTATAGTGGACCCAAGTTCAGTTCCTGTTACTCCGATAGGGCAGTTCACAGCACTAGGGTCTGGTGCCCTCTGTGGACTCCAGAGGCTCCTCCACTCACACATGCACATAACCCCCATCACGCACATACACACTTAATGAAAAATCTTTTTTAAAAGAAAGAAAAATTGAGAATTTTATGACATGGACAGAAATCAAAGTAACAGTTTATTCCTTAAAACCATGGATATAACTTCAATTAAAAATTTAAAAAGGTCAACTAGGGCCAGGAGTGTAGAGTCCCTCCAGCACCAAGTTCCGTCCCTTACGTTCCCCTTTCCAAAAGAAAATACAATTGACTCTATCTTCTAGCTACTGAAACTCAAACCAGATTATCCGAAGCACATTAGGCACAAAGCAGTGTAATGTCTGTGGGTGTTCTTCAAGTTAAACCCATTACCAGTGTGTATTTAAATCCCCAGAACTTGGGGAATTGTAGAATGCAATTGCCAGGGACACAGTTAGTGAAAATTTAGCTACTGAAAATGAATTGCTTTCATTTGAAAATAGTTGAAGTAGCCTTTTCTCTCATAATTAAAACCAGTTATTTTTATCTTTATTTTATTTTACATGTAAGTATCTTTGTAGATTGTGTTGGTAAATCCAGGGCATCTTCAAATAAGAGAATGGCTGTTTCCAGTGGGGAGGATAGTGTTTTATTAAGAGGCTGAGAACATTCTGTATTGTACAGAAATACCTCTTAATTGATCTTATTTTGGTTGAAGCCAGATTACTAAATATTTAGAGAGTGGTTTTGGGTTCCATGACAGAAAGGAGGAAAATATGTGTGCTAAGCTCCAAAGTGTAACCCACATGTCAGTTCAGTAACATTTAATAGTAATAGCATGCATGTAGTATCCAAAGGAACTGTTGAAGTGGGAGAGGCCGCAGTAGTCTCAGAGTTGAGTCATTCTAAGATAAATGAGGAGTATATGGCAGGATCCTAAGTAACTAATGCAGCATTATAAGGCCTCTTCTTTTGAGTTGGTATCAAACTAGAGCATCTCTATTCTGCAATGGGCTTCTTGATTCTGGAAGCCCTGTTTTATGGAGAAACTGGATAGCTGAAGCATGGGGATGTTTAAGAACATTTTCTGCTCTTCTGAAGAACTTGGGTTTGGTTGCCAGTACATACTTGTCAAACTCGCGGCCATCTGTAGCTTCTGTTCCAGGGACTCCAAGCCCTGTTTTGGCCTCTGCAGGCACAAGGTACTTGGTGTACATATATACATGCAAGCAATACATGTAAAATACAACATTTTTAAAATCTCAAGTAAAAATGGAGGCATTAAATAGGCAGGAAACTAGGGTATGGAAAGCCTGAACACTTTGATGTGGAAGGAAGTGGAGAGTGAGAGACTTGGGGCACCATGAAGTGTGAAGAGCTGTCACAGAAAGGGTTAAATTGACTTTGGATTTGCTCCACATGGCATCTGGGATAGAGAGTAAAACTGTAGGAGACTTCATTTCTGCAAAAAGAGGTTTGTGTTTGTTTTCATGCATACAAAAATCAGTAAGGAAAAGAAATGATATCTCTTTGAGATCATTTTGTGTACATTCCCTCCAAAGATCACTTGCTGGTGATGTATTTTGGAAGGTACCCAGCACTAGGAATAAGGTTGAAGTAAAAAACTTTTCAAGATCGTTCTTTTGTTAAGAACTCATATATTGGGGCTGGAGAGATGGCTCTGCTCTTACAAGAAGAACTGAGTTCAGTTCCTAGCACCCACTTGGCTGTTCACAACCATCTATAATTCCAGTTCCAAGTCAGGGGGATCCAGCACTGTCTTCTGCCCCCTCGGGTGCCAGGCATACATACACACAGTCATACACTTATGCACATAAATTATTTTTTAAGAAACCTGTAAATCTTTATTCAAACAAATATAAATGACCGCTCCATATTGATCCCTATCCAGTGTCACCAAGGTCAAAGTTCCTCCCTTTATTCTTAAGGATTTTCAAGGGACAAACAAGGATTGTTTGGAATGGGCATCTTGGTGGTGTAGAATGCTTTGCCATTCTTTTAAGTAGATAAAATATGTCCAAATAGTCCTTTTTGTAATATTTTTGTCAGTAAAGACTTAAAAAAATAGTAAATAACATTTTTATTTCAGCTTGAATTAAAGAAGGTTGATTTTTGGATTTTCATAATAATGTACATAGAGAATTGAAGTACCTTCCAAATTAAAATGGAAGTGGCTTTTTTGGCTTGTCTGTGCATTCTAAATGATTCATTATTAATCCATCAGCAGGTGATTATTGACTGCTTATTATGTTCTGAAAACTGTTAGTTCTAGGGACACAACTGTAAAAGAAATCCTTGTCTGCTCAGAGCTCACAAAACAATCAGGAGATATGCGCAAATAAAGTGGAGATTAGCAGTAGTTGGGTAAGGGAAAGTAGAGACCATAAGGACTTGACCTTTTGCTTAGAGTGAAATGAGAAGCCCTTAGGCTGGTTAATACAAAGGAATGATTGATTGTGAATTGGCGTGATATAATTCAGGAAGGAGTTGATAAGGCTGATTTCATTATAGGAGTAAAAGTTATAAGAGTTTGTGTTTTGGATACTTACGGCTCATTGGTTGGTCAGATGAGGAGATTTTTGAGAGTATTAGGTCATTGTTGAATCCAAGGTTTTTGGCCCAAGAAACTGGAAGATACAGAATTGGCAACACCTGGAATAGGCCATCGAGATTGAGAGAGATGTTAGCGATAAGGAATTGAGTTTTGAGGGTAGTAAGTCTTGAGCTGTCTTTTAGCAGCCAAGAAAAGATGTTGGGTGCAGTAGTGGGACTTCCGGGTGGAGCCTGGGAGTGGGGAGTGTTGAGAAAGGAGAACAGGGGAGCATGAACTAGACCTGGATGATACATTGTTAAGTCAGTAGATGGGAAGGAGCAAGCTCTGCTCAAGGAGCATGGGAGAAAGGCTGTAGACCATTAGGGGGCAGCTTGATAGACATGCACTTGTAATCCCTGTGCTGTGGAGAGGCAGATGCAGCAGACCCCTGGGCTCACTAGCTAGCCAGCTGAGGCTAATTGGCAGGCCCCAGTTCCCAATGAGAGACCCTGTCCATTCTCCCAAAAACAGCTGGGCTCCGAGAGGTGATTCTGCGAGGTAAGGATGCTTTGCTGCCAACCTGACCACCAGAGTCCGATCCCCAGGACCCATATGATGGAAGTAGAAGATTCCCAAGGTTGTCCTCTGGGTTCCATGCATGAGAACATGCAGATGTACCAGTGAGTGAGTGAATGAATGAATGAATGTTTAAGGGGAGGGAGCCAGAGAGATGGCTTGGCAGTTAGGAGCACTGACTGACCTTCCAGGAAACCTGAGTTGTGTAACTCTTGCTGCAGGTGGTCTGATGTGCTCTTCTAGCCTCCCAGGATACCAGGCACGGACATAGGTGCAGGCAAAATACCCATATACATATGAGAGAGAGAGAGAGAGAAAGAGAACATCTAAATATTTTTAAAAGGAGGGCAAGTACACCTGTCCTGAGAAACATCCAAGGTTGACCTTTGACGTCCATGTGTGTACACCCGAATGTACACACATGCACCCCTACAGGAACACACACACACACACACAGAAGAGTGAGGTCAGCTGTGAGGATCAAAGCTGACTGTTTGATGTTTGATTTCCTTTTTCTGTACCTTACTGTCCTGGAGCCACTCACACAAGTCCATAGGATGTGCAAGCACAGCGCTGGTCTAATGCAGTGATTGCTGTTATTTCAGAACTAAACTCGTTCTTGGAAGATCCAGAATTTGCTAATCTTGTATTAAGAGCTGAGCAAGCAATGGAAATTGGAGTTCTCCCGGAAAGAATCACTCAGGGGTCAAGTGGAAGTTACTTTGTGAAGGATTGTAAAAGGGTGAGAACCTCACACGTATTAAACAAATTTTGGATGTCACTGCTTTAAATGTGAAATGTCTGAGTTTCTGAAATGATTTTTCTATTACATCTGTTTGTTTGCTCTTTTCCAAAATAAAGGTCAGTGGTTTCTGTTGGTTTGCTAAGCACTCAATAATATAGAAATGGAGCTGATAATTTGCAGTTGTTGCTTGCTGTTCTGAAATTTTCTGTTTGGTTTCAAGCATTTATTTTATACCCATATTTATCTATGGATTTGTTAAATGCATATTCATAGCCCCCCTTTAAGCCCTGTTACCATATTAACCAAGTACAGTGGTACTTGGAACCTTCAAATCCTGTATAATGCCATATCCCAATGCTTGATTCATTTCTTTAGGTACAGTTTAATGCCCCAGGAATATTTTCCTGGCATTATGCCACATAAAAGAGGCTTGGCAAAGCTTGAAGGCTTTGGAGTGCAGCAACTTGAAGTGAACTCTGATTCCGGAGTGGAAAAGAGACATCAATAGAACTTTATCCCACTGAGTCCAGAGTTATTCAGAAATGGTTCTGTCTTTTCTAAAAGATTTCTGTATGGTATATAACTCACTGCCCTTTCTTCATGAGGGAGAAAGTTTATCATTTCAGTCCCACTTCCAATAATTCATGTGTGTGTCTGTGTTTGTTTCGAGACAGGGTTTCTCTGTGTAGTCCTGGCTCTCCTGGACTCACTTTGTAGACCTGGCTGGTCTTGAACGCACAGAGATCTCCTGCCTCTGCCTCCCTGAGCGCTGGGATTAAAGGTGTGTGTCATCATGCAAGGCTTGAAGGTATATTTTTAAAATGATTTTTAAAGCATAATCCTATTTGTTAACAAGAACAACAAAAATACATGGGTGTGTATGCCGTAGTCAGACCCACATTTCTTTTGTAGGGGATTAGGAATTTTGGGGACAGGATCTTGTATGCCCTGGACTGGTGAGCACCTGCTTTGCCTTCTTTATGAGTGCTGGGCTTACAGGTGTGTATTGCCTTGTTTTATGTGGTTCTGGGGATAGAACTCAAGGCTTCATGCATGCTAGGCAAGCCCTCTACCAGCTGGGTTATACCCAAACCATTTTAAGAAACAATTATACCATTTCTTTAAAAAAAAAAAAAATATATATATATATATATATATATATATATATATATATACATATATACATATAAAATTTGCTATTTGTAGACACTGTCTTTGTTTCAGGTTTGCTGTTTTTGTTGATGATTTTTAGTTTTGAGACAGTCTCCTCTTTGCTCATGATGGCTCATTGTTAGCAGCAGGCCTCCTGTCTCAGCCTCTCAGGTGCTAGGGATCATAGGTATAGAGCCACAAGCCTGATTTTCAGGTTTGAGTTCTTAATTTGTGGTGTTTTTTTAAGTTAATTTTTAGAATTTATTGCATTACAAAGAAATTATGTTTAAAATTTTATTATTTTTGTCTGAGATAATTGAATTTAATAAATATATTTTGTTAGATTAGTGCTAAAAATTATAAACTTTTAGACATAAACATTTTTCTTTATTTATTTATTATTTTAATTTTACATATTATTTTAATTTTGTTACATATCTCAGGCCATTCCAGATCCTCCTGCCTTAGCTAACCCACTAAGTGCTGAGATTCTGGGTATGTGCCAATACCTGTGGCCAAAATTTTTTCTTGATGGGAGAGTTAAGATAGGTTCATGCAAAACGTAATGGGGAAAATCTTAGGTGAGAGCTGCTGACAACATAGATGTTCAGTTTGTTAGTGTTTGAAAGAGTTACTTGAGTACCTGCTGTTTGTCAGGCACTGTTCTGAGTACTGGAGATGAACTGTAATGAACTCCTCGTGTTTTTAGAATGTTTAGCACAGCAGGGAAAGGAGATAGTGACTGAGTGTATACTTGGGTATTTGGTAGATTATAAGTAACACAGTTCTGTTTGCTTACATGAAGCAGTCTGAGGCAGGAGAAACTCTTAAGCTTGTGAGTCTGAAACCAGCCTGGACAACCTAGCCATAAAGGGGTGTTGGGGGACTGAAGAAAGGGGGTCATAACCCAGTGTTACTTTGTAACTGCAGCAATACAAAACACATGCAGTTAACCTAGTTAAATGGCGTGAAGCCTCTAAGGTTTGTCAGATCAAAGTTTGAAAAACACCGATACAGGGGATTATTGCTTTTAAATCGCAGTTCATTCTTACAGTGCTTTGGAATCAGTCATCTTAGTACTTTGGGATAAAGCCTAAATCTTATTTTTTGCCATGCATTTTGTAGATTGTTATTCACCTGTTCCTAAAAGTCTAATAGGATTTCTGCTTTTTTCCCCCATAGAATATTATTGGTGTGTTTAAACCCAAATCAGAAGAGCCTTATAGCCAGCTGAACCCAAAGTGGACCAAGTATGTTCATAAGGTTTGCTGTCCCTGCTGCTTTGGCCGAGGCTGCCTGCTTCCTAACCAGGGGTACCTTTCTGAAGCTGGTGCCTACCTGGTGGATGCCAAGCTTCAACTGGGCATTGTACCTAAAACGAAGGTAAAGGAGAGTTTGCTTTCCGGCTGTACCTGTTCTTAGAGCTCACTTATTTGTGGACACGAGTGAAAATTCTCAGTGATAGAGCCTAAACTGAAATGGCTTTTGTGTTAATTCAGGAGTCTGGAGCAGCTGGTTGCATGCACGCTGGTATAGACCCATAAAGTAGCCAAGGGACTTGTCCCTTATTCCTTTGAAGACACAGGATGCTAACAAAAAGGGGAAAGGGCTAGTATCTAGAAAGCGGAAGAGAGGGGTAGATCTTGAGATCTCTTTTGATCCTGCTGAAGATAACATGCTAATATGGCCACAATACTGTCCTTGTATTCTTTGGGGCCTTTATGTAATTTTATTTGATGCCTTCTTTAAAATGTTTGTTCCTAGTTCTATATTTCAAGGCTCATATTTTTTCCACTGGAAACTTTAGACTGCTTTTTATACCTTTTTTGAAAGAAATGTATGTCATTTAAAATTCTCTGACCTTTATATTTTAGGTTCTCTAGGAGTCTTGTTACAGGATTAGACCTTGCTCATTTACAGCATTAGAGTGAATTTGATGGTATGTGTGAACAGAATTACCTTGATATGAACTTTATTCATTTTTCTAGGTGGTTTGGTTTGTCAGTGAGACGTTTAACTATAGTGCTATTGACCGTGCAAAATCAAGAGGCAAAAAGTATGCCTTAGAGAAAGTGCCAAAAGTAGGTAGAAAGTTCCATCGGATAGGACTTCCTCCTAAGGTAAGTTACTGTAAGCTTTGCTTTCAGGGCAGTTGGACATGCCCTTTCTAGGGTCCTGGGACGAGGAATGTAGCTAGATATTGGGCATCCTGCTGTAGGCTGTGGAGATAATAAAAAAAAGAAAACACTTCCTCCTCTTGAGTTCATGATAACAAGGAGTTTCAATGCAGTTTGAGAAAGCTGCTTAGAAGGAGCTCTGAGCGGATAAAAAAAAAAAAAAAAAAAAAGGATGCCTGGACTAGAGTTCCAGTTCAGTGATAGAGTGCTTGCCTGGTGTGTATCTGCAAGGTTCTATGTCCAGTCGTTTTCTGGAGAGGAGCTTACTGAATTAGGAGTCAAGAAGATGTGATTTGAAAGGCTTTGTAAAGTTACTGTGAAAAGCACAGGTCTAGACTTAGAGCTAGGTTCCAGTCTCAGCCTTTCTGAAAACAGTCCCAGTTTTTATAAAATGAGATGAAAACCACGACTACTTTTTAAGTTGCTAGGATAACTGAAGATATCATCTCAAGTAGTTGGCAGATAGCAGAGACTTAGTGGAAGTTCTGTGTGCATTCACTACGAGTCAGATTTATTATTTACCATTTTTAAGTAAACCCAAGGGCCTTTGGCACCTCGCTAAGCAAGGATGCAGAGAACTAATGGAAAGGCCATCTTAAAGCAACTTCTATATTTTACTTGTAATTTTATTGTTGTTGTACAAGTGTCTAAAGAATTTGAGTAAAAACTCACAATTTATTTTTTTATTTAATTATATTCCAGGCAGTCAGATTTGAACATTTTTACTATTTTCTTGGATGTGCTAAAATAACTGTGACTAAAAGAAAACCTTTAGGATGCTAAAATGTCTCACTCACTTATAAAATGTTAAGCTGTGAAGCAAGCTTCTTCATGGCGATTTGTTGGCTTGCATTTGTGAAGCAGAATAGGTCACGTGTTACCATACATCATCTGCTAATGAAATTTGTATCCCGGCAGCAACTTTTTTAACTCGCAGTTTTAATAATAAAAGTGCATTTTCAAATGAGCATATCTTCAAGGAAAAGAATTAAAATCCATTAGAAAGGCTACACTAAAAAAAAACTACAATCAGTTGATTAAATCTTTAAAATTTATGACATGATTGTTGATCTGCCTAAAGAATCCATTTTTTAAATTTTTTTTATTCTATTACTTGATTGTAGGTATTACTTTTTAAATTGATTTTACTTATGTTTCTAATACCTTTTCTTCTCTTCTCTATCCCCATCCTCTCCAACACCCCAGTACCAGGTAGGAGAGAAAGGAGGTTAGTGGAGAGAGGAGTTGTGGTTTTCCTCAGCTACTTCCTGGTTAATGTTGTCAAGTTCCATGGGGCAAGTCCAATCCTCATTTTAGGATATCTCCTACTTCTCTTTACACTACATCAACAGCAACCAGGAGCAGCAGAGGCAGGCACCAGCAGCCTTCTTTTTCCTTGGAGCCTCCCCTCCCCCAACACTCTCTGAGCTCTGGCATTTATTCCCTCTTCAGGGTCCTCTGATTTATACTGACTACAGCTGACAAAGAGCCCCTCTCAGAGCCTGCAGGAGGCAAATAGTTTGCTGCTATGGACAATCTGAATCAGTCCCATATTCCACACCTGGGGTTAAAACAAAAACATGTTTACATATCATAAACCAAAACTTTTACAACCTTGATGTTATGAAAAGAATACAGAAATGCTGCTTCCATTGGAAAATTTTGTTGCCATGAAATAACCAAGACATTGTTCAGTTTGGCCTCTCAATTAAAATCACTTTGATGCCTATTTTTAGGAAGTAACATTCTTAAGAATATCACCTTCCGGACATATGTGTATTTTTTTTTTTTTAATTTCCTAAAAGAGCTTTCTAAAAGTCTTGGGTTGAACCTCTTTTAGTTGCTCTGTATTCTTGTGATTATTTAAACTAATATGTTAAGTGATCTTAATAAATGTGGCTTATCTGGAGTAGTGTTAAGTGCCATTTTTCTCACTGTGCTTATGTATGTAACATTTTGTGCTAGTACTGGTGAGAAATTTGAAGAGTAATGCCTTTGTGTTTGTATTTTCCTTCCTAACTATAGTTCTTGTAATTATAGGTTGGTTCCTTTCAGCTGTTTATGAAAGATTACAAGGAGGCTGAGTATTGGCTTAGGAAGTTTGAAGCTGAGCCTCTGCCTGAAAATATTAGAAAACAGTTTCAGACACAGTTTGAAAGATTAGTGGTTTTGGATTACATCATCAGAAACACAGGTATTGACTTCTCTCATTTGTTCAATTTCTTAAGTTGTAAATCAGGTTCTCATTACTGAAATCAAAGCCATAAATGTTGGTTCAAGAGAATCCAGTCCTCTTCCATCTTGGAAAACAGGAAGCACTGACCCTCTTGGGCAGGTAGTCCTGTGCTGAGGTCCTGTTTCATATTGGGCCACAGAGAACATTTCCTGTCCCCTCAGTTGCCTAAAAGCAGGACAAAGCCAGAGACTAGAAATGCTATCTGCATATATGAAAAAATTCTTATTTTGATATTGTGTAACTATTACTTTCATTTTTGAAACATTAAGCTTTTTGTTTGTGCTGTACTGTGAGGGAACAGTGATGTAGAGCGGTCAAAGCTTTGATTCCCAGACTCATGAGAACTTACTCAATGTATATCTTCTCAAATACCACCCTCTTCAGAAATTACTAGTTGGGGCCAGGGCTGTGCTTCACAGGGCCTCCTGGTGATTCTTAGATATTCTACTTGGAAACTACTGCTTTCAAGTTTGTTTTCATCACTTAATATTAGCTTCTGAAAAGCATCATATAATTTTCTCAATTTGACTTTTTTAATTAAATGATCATAAGTCAATATTAACTGGTGCAGACTGCTCAGTTGTTGACACTGGGTGAGGCTGCTTTGAATGTGCCACCAGCCAGGGTGAATGTGCCTTCTTGTTAAGTGAGAAGACGTTGTCTTTGATTTTAACTAACCTCCTTCTAGCCATTGCTCTTACCTTACAGGATGGTTCTGAAGGCCAAATCAGTTAATACAGGTGAAGCACTTAGGAGAGTAATCTAGCATAGAGAAAAGTTCAGTAAGAGTCAACTTAACGCTGACCATGTTTTTAAACCTGTGTTAAATCATAACTTTTCTGTTGTCTTAGAGTTTTTATTGCTGGGGTGAAACACCATGACCAAAAAGCATGTAGAGGTGGAAAAGGTTTATTTGTCTTATACTTCCTTCATATTGCTGTTTTGTCATCTAATGAGGTCAAGACAGGAACTCAAACGGCAGGAACTTGGAGGCAGGAGCTGATGCAGAGGCCATGGCGGAGTCCTGGCTTGTTCAGCCTGCGCTCTTATAGAACCCAGGACCACAGCCCAGTGATGAACCACCCACAGTGGACTGGCCCTCCCCAACAACCACTAGGTTATAAAATGCTGTACAGCCGGATCTTATGGAGGCATTTTTTTTTTTCTCAATTGAGGTTCCCTTCTTTCAAATAACTCTACTTTGTGTGTCAAGTTGACATAAGACTAGTCACATATATATGGTGAGTCAGTGCTATAGAGAACCAATGAAAATCTCAAAAACTGGGAGATGAGATTTTGCCTCTTAGTGTGAAGCCACAGTATTTGTGAATATCGACTAACAGATTTTTATTCCTTTTGAAAGACAGGGGCAATGATAATTGGTTAGTCAAATATGAAAAGGAGAAATATGCAAAGAAAATTGAAAATGAGGTAAGGAAAATTTAATGAATAAAATTATGTATTCAGTTCATAAACAGATTTCTTCAAGTTCTTTACCTTGTTTCTGCTGGTGAGGGGATTATTTCTGTTGTTGGTTGGTTGGTTTTGTTTTTAACCGAGGTAAAAACGAAAGCCCAGGCTGGCCTCAGACTTGCTCTGTAGCTATAGTTGACCCTGAACTCTACTTCCCATGTGCTACAGTACATGTGTACGCTGCCCGCCCAACTACATTTTTGGTTTCTAATCCCTTTTGTCTGTTTTCATCTTCTATCACTTTGTTCACATTGCATTTCATATGTGTGTTTGGAGTTGGATGCTTGTGTGTAAATATATGTGAAGGCTAAGGGTCAATTTTCAGTGTGATTCCTCAGAAGCCATCTGCCTTGTTTTTGAGAGCTTGCCAAGTAAGCTAGGCTGGCTGGCATCTGTCTGTCTCTGCCTCCTTGGCAGTAGCATTACAGAGGTGCACTGCCATACCTGGCTTTTTACATAGGTCCTGGGTATAAAAACTTAGGGTCTCAAGCTTGTGCTGCAAGTGTTTTACCAACAGCCATATCCCTAGGTCTGTACTATACTTCTAGAACAATGCACCTCTTCCCCTTTCCTTTCCTATCTTTTTCTTATGTATATTGGAGACCAAGTAAAAGCTTTTGACATTTTTAGAAATACAATACAATTTTTATGCAATAAAGGCTTCTGATATCTAGGGACATGTTTGTATTTGCTAATTAAATTTCTTCTGAGTGTTTTGATTTAGTGTTAGGTAATAATAACATTACATAATAAAATTAAATACTGTTTTACTTGTGAATCATATTCCCTGAACTTTTAAAAAAAAGTACTTCTACTTATAATAAACTGGCTTAAACTTACATAACAGACTGTATGGATGGTTCACATTAGCAGAATTACAGATTTCAGATTAATTGCTATCAATTTTGGTACTATCAACTTTGGGTACCTGTTTCTGTTGCTGTGAAGAGACACCATGACCAAAACAACTTCTAGAGAAAAAGGAGTTATTGGGAGCTTGCAGAGGATTAGAGTCCATGGCTGTCATGGCAAGGAGCACAGCAGCAGGCGCAAGGTCGGAGCAGTAGCCGAGAGCTCACATCTTGGTCCACAGGCACAAGGCTGAGAGCACCACCTGCGAATGGCATGGACTTTTGAAATGTCAAAGCCAACCCCAGTGGCACAGCTCCTCCAACAAGGCCTCATCTAATATTTTCCAAATAGTTCCACCAACTGGGTACCAAGTATTCAAACATATGAGCCTACTGGGCCATTCTTATTCACAAATTCAAATTTATATAGTTAGATAAGATACCCTTTTAGGATCGTTTCTTTTTATTTTTTTTTTCTTAAGTTTAGAACAATATATGCTTTGTAGAATATTTAAAATAATTTCTTCCGTATTTAATCTTTGTGTTCCCAAGTTACTGCTTAAGCTGTTGCCTCACTTTGAGATGTTTGTATTTTTAAGTAGTTATCCAGGAAATTTGAAAATTGGTATGCATAGTACTTAGCCATATCAAAAAACAAACTTTAGTCACTAAGTAACTTAAAAGTATGCTCAACAAAAGAAACCGATAAGTGCTGGAGAGATGGCTCAATGGTTAAGATCACCAGCTGCTTTTTCAAATAACCTGGGTTCAACTCCCAGCACCCACATGGTGCCTCACAGCCCTCTCTGTAACTCCAGTTCTAGGAAATATGTCACCCTCTTCCAGCCCTTACATGTGCTATGCGAACATGGAGGCAAAACACCCATATACATGAAATCAGATAATTTTTTTTTTAAGAAAAGTAACAGTAGGCAAATAGCACACATTTAAGCAATGGATTATCTAGACTCTTTGTCTAAAGTTAGTATTTTCAAACTTTCTTCTCTAGAGATGAAAAATGTTAAATAATTTATTAACTAAATATATATTCCAATTTTTAAAATAACATCTATGAAATGTTTATTGTTTATAAAGATTGTCTCTTATATGACTTTGTGGGTTTTTTTCTGGAAATCTAATTTTAATTTTATAGATTTCCAAGAGAGCATGCACGTAAGCCTCAATAATTATTGTAATTGATCCGTTTGCAATATTTTTATAGACTTTTATCAGTAGATCATTTTTCTCCCTTTTAGGAATCAAACTGGATTGATGGTAAAGAAATGCTTATTAAAATAGCTGCAATTGATAATGGGCTAGCGTTTCCCTTTAAACATCCTGATGAATGGAGAGCATGTAAGTATTTAGAGTTCTCTCAGATGGGCAGGGTACAAAATTGACAGAGCTTGAAGTAGGAAAGGAAACTGGATAAAGTGTGATCACTCACTAGAGCTCAGGTCTGTCCCCTGAGGCTTTGCAGGTACAAGTGACTTGGGTCTTGCTATGTGTTGTTTGTATACTTTTGGATGACCTTGTTTGGTTTTAGTCTTGGAAGTAGGTTTGGTAACGAGTTTCTAAGGTATTAACATAGGAATGATAGATCAGAATGTCTTGGTAGAGATGAATGCTGATATTTTGGGCTTTATTCCTTTAGCAGGATTCAGACCTCCCATGCCTCTTCATGATGCTTTAGTTACTCTTCCTGTCTCTCCTGCTTCAGATGATTGTTTATGATGCATTTGGAGCCAGTTTGGGGACTTTTTTGTTTGCTTGCTTTGTTTTTTAAAAGAGGATTTCTTTTTTGTAGCCCCAGCTGTCCCAGAACTTGCTCTGTGGACCAGGCTGGCCTCAAAGTCAGAGATCCACCTTCCTCTGCCTCCTGAGTGCTGGGATTAAAGGTGTGGGTAACCACTGCCCAGCTATGGGACATTTTTGTTGTATTTAAAATTTTCTATGTCTTGAAGTATTTCTTCTCCTTTTCCTCTTCCTCCCTCCCTCCCTGCCCCTCTCTCTTTCTGAGACAAGGTTTCTCTGTGTAACCCTGGCTAGCCTAGAACTCTGTAGACCAGGCTAGCCTCAAACTCAAAGAGATCCTCCACCTTCCTCTGTCTCCTAAGTGCTGGAATTAAAGGTGTGTACCACCATTGCCCAGCTCATGTCTTGAATTTGTAATTTATGATTTTAATATTTGATGTAGATTCTCCTATAATTAAAATTTTCTTTGTTACATAATCATAATCTATTTTAGAAGGTAAATGAAGTGATATTTAGGGTTTGCCTTAAAATGCTGGTAGAGGTGGAGATCAGAGAGGGTCTACAAAGCATAATATGTCATTTATGTGCAGTCTTTATATATATGATAGATTATTTGGAATATGAGAGCTTGTATTTTCAGACTTTGAAATATTTTTAACAAATTTTAAAAATCTCAGCATTTGTGATTGTACCTCTTTAGCTTATTGATGTGCTTGTTTTCTATTTAAGCTTGCCAAATTTTTTTCTTGTTAAACACTGGCATGTTTATATTTTCACTCTTTTATCTTGCTTGCTTAGATTATATTATTATTGATATAACATATCAATAATATATAATATTGATATATTATTGATCAGATTTTCAGTTTGCTTGTTTTTTCCTCTATGTTTTTCACCATTATTTTCTCTTTATGTAGCTCTGTATTTTTTCTGTGTGTGTTGGCTAGGTTTTTTTGTTTATTTGTTTTGTTTTTTAAGATTTATTATTTACACAGTATTCTGCCTGCATGCCAGAAGAGGGTATCAAATCTCACTGTAGATGGTCATCAGCCACCATGTGGTTGCTGGGAATTGAACTCAGGACCTTTGGAAAAACAGCCAGTGCTCTTAACCTCTGAGCCATCTCTCCAGCCCCGTGTTGGCTAGTTTTATATCACTGTGGCAAAAACTTGGAAAAAGTCAGTAAGAGGTTTCTTTTGGCTCACAGTTCCAGAGACGTCAGTGAATGGTTACTTGGCACTCTTGCTTTGGGTCTTAGGCAGCATAGCACATGGCAGGTTGCATGTTAAAGAAAATGGTTCTGGGGAGTGAAACACAGGAAGGCAGCAGGGTCTTCATGTTCCCAGAGATGTGCTCTAGTAGCCTAGTTTCCTTCCATGTATGACCCATCTTCTGAAAGTTCCACCAGCTCCAGTTGCACCGTAGGTCTGCTCCTTTAACGCGTGGTCCTTTGGGAAGCGAGGTTTAGGATCCAAGCTGAAGAACTCTTAAGTATTTGTTAAGCTACGTGTTTTCATTTGGCCAAACATAAGGCTGGCTGTGTAGTCTTGATTTTTAAAATGTGCCCATTCTTGGCATTTTCTTTTTGTTCATTTGTTTGATTGATTGCTTGTTTTTTTGAGACAGAATTTCTCTGTGTAGCCCCGACTGCTCTAGAACTCATTCTATAGATCAGGCTAGCCTCACTCAGAGATCCACCAGCCTCTGCCTCCAGAGTGCTGGGATTAAAGGAGTGTGCTTACATGCCAGCCATTCTTGGCACTTTGAAAGCATCTGTTAGTACTGTTTTCCAGTGTACTGTGCTATCATGTTTGAATATGAGCTATGTGGATATTTTTCATGTTGTTAGTAACTTCTTTTTGATTGTAAATATGATCAATATAAAGGACTATTTGAAAGAATAGATTTGGGGACAAAGTTTCCTCTTTGTTCATTAAAACTTGTTAGTTTTTAGTACTAGAATGCCCTCAACTTGTCTTTAACTTAATCTGTTAACTTTTGAGAGCCATAACTGACTTTTTAAATGAATTTCTTCTGACTTTTAGCTTTGTGTTTCACATGCAAAAACGCCAGTGTCAATACTCCCGGGTTCATTTGTGTGAAATGTAATATACTTTATTGTCTCGGTGGTCTTTGCGTGTATTTTTTTCTACATTGCTACATTGCTTTTCATTTTGTTAGCGTTTTGTTAGTTGTTAGTGTTACTCTATACTTCTGCTTCTTTGAGACAGGGTTTCTCTGTGTAGTCTTGGCTGTCTTAAACTTACTTTGTAGATGAGGCTGGCTTCTAACTCACCAACTGATTTCTTTTAACCCAGACTGAGTCTTTTAATATGTATCTTAAAGTGTCAGTAGATTGGGGCTTATCTTTTTTTTTTTTTTTATTTACCATAAATTCTTATTTGTTTTCTTTTCCTGTGTTTTGTGGAACTGATTTGAAATGTCTTGTGGTTGCATTTTATTTTTCTCACTAATCATTTGAAACTTATATGCAGATTGCTTTTTTAAAGTGGTAGTTTTGTCAACTTCCTATAAAACATCTGGTAAATTTTGCTAAACATGTGGTGATCAAGGGTTTGGAGCTTACAAAACAGTTGGTATTAAGAGTGTAGGGATGCTTTAGCTGTCGTCCACATAGTGAAAGCCGTGGCTTTATTTACTGTCATCCAGGGAAATCATGGAGAACAAACACCATTGCCTAATACAGTGCCAGGAGCATAAATACTCAATAAAAGTTTGATATGTGCCCAGTGAATGAAGGGGAAAAGGACTAATGGAGTCTTGGGGAACAGTAAAATTAAAAGAGAGGAGAGAAAGCCAGCAGACAGGGCAGAGAGAACTTTGAGAGCTGGTATCCACCAAGCCACAGTGGAAGAGCTTCCTAAAGGGTGAGACATGGCACAGCCCTGAGGTTAAGTAGCTGCACTTGGGCTGTGAGAAGTACTCGGGCAGGCGCAGGGTGTGGGAGCTGGTGAATAGTGAGAGTAAAAGTGGAAGGACAGGGATTAGAAACCAAAATAGCAAAGAATAAGAGTGTTTTAAATGAAATTGTTAAGAGAATGGAGAGCAAAAACATGTTAGAGGAATGTGGGCCGTACATGTAAAACCCAAGTGTAAGTCTCACACTGTGCAAAGAGATGGATCAAATAAGGGCAGTTGACTTTGCTCATTGCTGTGACCAGATGCCTGCTGGAAGCCTGTTAGGGAAGGAGTTGTTTATTCTGTCTCATGGTCAAGGAGATACAGTCCATCCGTAATAGGGATGGAGAGCGGAACATGAAGAGCATGAGGCAGGTCTACTATGTCTACACAGTGGTGCTCCCGTAATCTAGCGTTCTAGAGCAGAAGCAAGCAGGTCTCCGAGGTCAAGACCAGCCCGTCTATCTAACGTTCTAGGCTGGGTAGGACTATAGGAAGAAACTGTTGTCGGGGGAGGGGAGCAGAAGCATGAAGCAGATGCTTCATATTTTAAACATTTAACTGAGACTATACTAATTTCCTAGCTCCACTCCTGTAGTCCTACATTTGCTGTTCAAGCCCTATGTTTAGAAGGTTCCACAGCTTCCCAAATATCACCACATACCAGGTGTTCAAACTCATGACTTTGTGAAGGTCATTTCATATTCAAACTATAACGAGTAGAGTTATCTGGTTGGTAATCCTGGAATCTACCTATGTCTCATCCCTTTCTAGAAGATTTCACTGGTTTACTAATCTTCCTAGTCTGTTGCTAAGCTGCTTCCTGTTTTAGGCTCATGAATGATTTTTTTTTAATCCTTTAAAGCCATTTATTCACTTCCTAATTATTTAAAGTTGTAGAGCTTACTCTACAGATTCTGCAATTACTGATCATGTGTAACTGTGGAAGATAGGAGCTCTAATCCTTGAGACTGAATCTGTATATGTGAAAGATTACAAGTTCCCACCAATTTCTTAACCCCAAATGTATGTGTTCTGATTTTTTTTTTTTTGAGACAGAGTTGTTTGAATTAGATTCATTATCACATCCCGCCTCTCTACTGTGTAAAACTAAGAAACAGAACAACTTAGACAAGACCTTCCCATTTATTGGCATCCTGACTAGCCATCTGAGCCTGGAGTCTGAATAGCTTGTATTGTAAAGGATGATTTGTTCTGAGAAATTTTCTTTTTCTTTTTCTTTTTTTCTTTATTTGGGAGAAGCTGAGAGTTATAGGAAAGAACTGGATAAATGTGAGTCTAGATAAGCCATTACTCACTGATCATTAACATCTGTTTTCCCACTAGATCCATTTCACTGGGCTTGGCTTCCTCAAGCAAAAGTTCCTTTTTCTGAAGAGACCCGAAACTTGATTCTACCCTATATTTCTGACATGAACTTTGTACAAGATTTGTGTGAAGATCTTTATGAACTTTTTAAGGTAAATGGATGTTTAATTTAGATGGTATACATTTATTGTTTTCCATGTTAGATTTTACCTTTCATTTTTATTTCTCTGGTGCTAAGGATTGAACTGAGGGCCTTCAGCTTGCTGTGCAAGGATTTGACCACTGAGCTACATTGTTTTGAATGGCTGTTTTGCAAGTCAGGCTGCTGTAAGAAGGGGCCACAAGCTGGCCCACTCATGCAATGCCCATGTCTTCCTCACAATTTGGGGGCTTAGAAGTGTGAGATTAGGGTGGGGGCACGGTCAGTTTCAGGGTAGCTTTCTTCCAGCTTGCATTCGTTAACATTCGTTCTCATTCATGACATCCTCACATGCTGTAAGAGAGCAGGGTAGCTCTGGGGCCACTGTTCCTAAGGGAATAGTTCTGTTTTGGGGAGGTCCACCTTCCTGACTTGGTTACCACTCAGAGGCCTTATGTCCAAATGCTGTAAGATCTGAGATGAGAGTTCATCACACTAAGGACACATGAGCCTTTTTTCCATAATAAACACCATGATTTCTTATTTATATATAACTTTAAATTTATCCATGTAGCACTATTTTTATCATTTAACTATTGGTGAAATTAATGTTGAGAAAAGTCAAGTTCATTGCCCAAATTTGGAATGTGAGCATAGATCTGTCTAACGTCAGTATTTTAAAAAATATTCTTTATCCTTTCAACGTATGGGTGTTTGGTCTGCATGTAAATCTGTGGGGTATGTGTGTGTTGCTCATGCAGACCAGAAGATCCCCTGGGATCCCCTGGGACTGGGGTTAATAGATGATTGTGAACAACCGTGTTGGTGTAGGAAGCACAGCCAGTGCTCTTAACTGCCAAGTCACCTCTCCAGCCTAGGGTGATTTTCATTTAGTACCAATAGCTTGCTCTTGGCTGCCGATGGACAGATGTATGCATGGTTCTTGGGGAGGATAGACTAAGCAAACATTTGTCCATATGCTAATTTTTTAAATATTTACTTTTGATTGTCAAAGAAAATGTATTCTTTAAAAATAGGCTACATTAAGCCTCATTTGTAGATACTACTTATGCTTATAGCACAGCCTGGAAGGGCAGAGAGGAATTAGCAGTTTTGTTTTTATAATACATACATTTGTAAAGTTACATTTACTGAGTATTAATTCAAGACTTTTTTCAAGTTGTATGTTTTTGCAAAATTACTCTTTGAATTATAATGTATGTTTTGTGACCTGAAAGGATTTAATTCTTATTAAAAAGTCCAAACCCATTGGCTCATATTAAATCTTTTCTGGAACAAGTTGAAGGTATAAGCAAATAAAACTCTTGTTATTCTGGGTCCTTCCCAAAATGTATCAGATTAAAATAGTTTTTTCTGGTTATGTTTTCAGTTGGAAAGTTTTCTTAATGGTCTTTCTTGCTGCCTAGAAGGGTTTGTTTGTATTAAAATTTGATACTTGTTTTAAAGTTGTTGATGTTGGGAGCTGTATTAACCTCCTCCCCCTTTCTGTAACAGATTGACAAAGGATTTGACAGAGCAACCTTTGAAAGTCAGATGTCTGTGATGAGAGGCCAGGTAGGTCACTGTTTGATACTATTTGTGAAGAATGTCTCCTTGAGACAGTTACCAGCACTGTGACTCCTAATACTACCTGTAATGTGTGATGCGGAACCTAGACACCTCAGGTGATGATATGTGAAGTTGATTTAAGTACTCTTTTGCCTCTCTTGCCCTATAAATTATCCCTTTTTCCCTTTAATGTTGTTTGTTTAGCCAGTTGTTTACTCAGCGTAATTGCTTGCCTCTGCCCCTTTAACTATTCTGCGTGGAATCCGGGTTGCACATTGCATGAAGGCAAACATTCTCCCACTAAACTATATCCTCAGTCCCATTTGTCCCCATTCTGATGATGATTTTCTGTGTGTTCCTACCTTTTACTTTGTCTGATACACTTGCACAAACATTTCCATACTAAATTCTTTTGCCAGTAGGTAATTTTCCATCTGGAACACACTTGGCTTTTCTAGAGCAGTTATATCAGCAAGGTTGAGTGCTGACTGAAAAAACGACATTTCAGTGCAGTCTCTTTACTCCTTCCCCTTTAGCACCTGGACCTGAGATAAAGGCCCTGGGTCTGGTTGCATGAGCCTGAAGGTCATGCTCACTCACAAGCAATATTATTTGCTTCACTATGTTCCAGAAGGAAGATTTGATATGAAAACTGGTTTTTAGTGACTCCAAACTAATGTCCTCATCCTAAAAGCATATATTTAATATAATATAGCTATCTTATACTGTATTGTGTCAAAGATAAGTCTAGTTTTTGCACTGACTGTTGTATTATACACAGTGGGATAATGGTGAATATAATGAAATTAGATACTCATTAATTCATCAAGTATTTACAGATGTAACTAGTAAGGTAGAGATAGAGTGCAAAACTCCCTAAGGGCTACAGTATGAATTCCACATGGAAGGGATTATGGAAGTTATTGAAGAGGCACTCTTATCCGGGGCTGCTTTAGTGTGCGCTGTGAAACTGTGTGTGAGTTCAGTGAGGGACAGGTAGGACCTGGTCTCAGCAACAGGATTCCTAATGATACAGAGGTTGTGAAGAGGTCAAGCAGGACACTCTTGCCAGCCTGCTTCCCAGATGATCCCAGGCAGGGATCCCAGCTAGGAGGCTGCCATGTCAGGAGCAAGGAGTGGGGCTTAGTGGTTATACTTATGTAGCAGAGTGTTGCCGTCTCCTAACGGACTTGAACTGCATATTCAGGTAGAAAGAGTTAAGGCCTGCTTTGACTTTTTGCTCGAAACAAATTAACTTGGCATATGAGTATGGATGTCTTCTAGATTTTTGTCCCTGAGGGTGTACAACAATCTGCTTTTATCCTTTGGAGATCCATCCCAAGTTCTCAAGCAGACACCTGAAACCAAGCACTGTAGATAATTAACCTATGACAGTATTTGATTAGCAATGAAAATTAAAAATGAAATAATTATAACAATATACTGAAACTTATAAGTTGCTTATTTTTTTTCCTTCAAAATTTTCCAACTGATGTTTGCTGTGATGAGTACCTAAAACCAATAGATAAGAAGGAACTCTTGTGTTTATCTTAGGAATGTCATTTTAAATTTAAAAAGTGTTATAAACGATTTTGTAAGCTTCATTTATGGATTGAAGTTCACACATGAAAAATTAAAAAAACAAAACCAAAAAACACACTACCTGCCTGAGAAAGGTGATGAGCTCTGAAGTTAGGTAGGACAAGCCATTGGTTTGTGCTGTTCTGAGTTCATTATTCATAGCCTCGCATTCACAAAGGAGTTATGTATTACACAAATAGGTGCAGTAGAGCTGGGCATGATAATGCACATTCACAGTCCCAGTACTCTGGAGGCTGAGGCAGACGGACACTCAGTTCAAGATCAGCCTGGACTGCGTAGCAGGATCTTGTCTCCAAAAGAGAAAAAGTGCATGACAGGTCAAGCTCTGAAGAGAGAAAAGGACAAATGGTGTATCTCGATGATGTAATTTGATTTGATAGTCTGATTCCGTTTCCCTTTTTGCATATGCATGGTTAGCATGTATGTATGTATGTTGGTGTTGTGCACACATGGATGTGTGCAGGCATGTCGGACCCTGAGATAGACGGCAGGCATCTTTCTTGGTTGCTTTTCTGTTTACATATTGAGACAGGGTTTCTCCTTGAACCCAGAGACTGCTGTTTTGCCTAGTGTGGCTGACCAGCTTGCTTTGAGGATCTCCTCTTTCTACTTTTTTTTACACATACAGGTGGGCAACAAGCCTACCCTGCTTTATGTGGATTCTGGGAATCCAGATTCTCTCCAGTCCTCATGCTTGCATGGCAAGTGCTTTAGCCAGTGAGCCATCTCCCAGACTCAGGTATGGTGCCAGGGGAGAGGTCTAGTTTTTTTCCCTCTTGCCTGTGGCACTGATTTATTAAAATAATAACAACAACAACTCTTGGGCTAGTCGGATGGCTCAGTGAGTAGAGATGCTTTCTTCCGAGCTTGATGACCTGAGTTCAAGTTCTAGTTTCTGTGTGATGGGAGAGAACCAACTCCCTCAAATTGTCTTCTGGTTTCCACATGTGTGCCGTAGCACATATGTCCACCCATACACACAAGCATACATGCGCACACACAGAAAATAAATGAATGTTTTTTAAGCAGTTCTCTTGGGCTTATCCATATAATAAAAATTTGCATACCATTTGAGCAGAGAAAAGAGCAGGTGGTGTGTCAGGTGAGATTGGGTGGAAAGTAGGGAGGGCGATGTTCCCCAGGAGCTGTGCATGCCGTTCTGCTTTGCAGTCATTTGCTCGCATCATTTGTTTCTGGGTTGAGTTCTTCTAGGGTGCACATGGTTTTTCCTTCTGTTCGGTTCCTCTCCCCAGATGGGGGCAGGGGTGCTATGTGAAGGCTTCTCTAGTAATAATGAAGGACTGTCATGTGTCTTCTGAATTCCCAAGGAAGACGAGTAGACAAAATAGATGAGGATTGAATTCTTTCTGCTGCTGTATAATGATCTGAAAATTAGTATCATGTAATTTTCATTTTCTTGTACCCTTCTGTCTTTCAGGTGCTCTGTAAACAATCATGTATTGTTTAGAGTCCAGCAATATTATGTTACTTAAAATGGTATATTTGGATTAACATGCTTGGAATAGATTTTTGTTATTGTGTTATTTTTCAAGATAGGCTTTCTCTGTAGCCTTGGCTGTCCTGGAACTTACTCTAGACCAGGCTGGCCTCGAACTCGACACAGATGCCCATGCCTCCTGAGTGCTGGGATTAAAGGCCGGGGTTAAGGTAGCAGTGCACACCAATTGGCTTTGAAATAGAATGTTTTTAAAACCCAAGTTAATTAGAAGAAACTAGTCAGAACTCTCCATCCTGTAGTCATGGTGGTCCACATTTTTAGGGTCAGGGTACAGACAGTGCTTAGAAACAGAGATTTGTAAATTGTTGTTACATAATAGCCTAGAAACATTTATGGGCATTGTAAAATATAACTACAACTGCCAGTAATGATTTATTTCCCTGATGAAATAGCAACATGGTTGGATCTAGAAACACATCTGATTTATACTATTCAAAATACTATGAAGTTTGCTCACCTATGTGTCTTTCTGTTGAAAGTTACTGTTTATCACTTCTTTCATAAGAACCAGAGAAATGCATAGCATGTATATCAGATGTTTTCAGATACCTGAAGGGGAGGTAATGAAATGCCTAAAGTACAGAATAAAGAACATTTTTCTACTATTCAGGAAAAAAGAAAATAGACTGTAATGCTGGACAAGGTGGTACATATCTTTAATCCCAAGCACAGTAAACAAAATCAGTAAAAGTAATATATATTATATACATACAACTGTTATATACACATATACATATAATGATATACTATATATTTATATGTTACTTTTACTCGTTTTGTTTTCCCTATTTGAAAGTAGGGTTTTAAAAACTTTAAATGGATGACTTCCTGACTTCTCTCATCTACTCTGGGCCTGCTTCATGTTTTCCCCTTCTAATGCACAGCTTACCTGTTACTACTGACCCTTGGCCCCTGCTAAAATGAAGGCAGAAATTTTGTCTTTATTTTAGTCATCATGTCCCAGCACACAGAAGAAAGGCCTTGGAAGTGGTAGAACGGTCTTAACTTTATTTGACGAATAAGTGAGTAGTAAGACAAACATTGGAAACAGTGTTTAAGTTCCCTATTAATGGAATGTATACAACCTTTTGATTGCTTTACTCTCTGACTTCACTGTTGCTGGACATTGGCACAGTCTGGAGTAGTTTAAAATTCCAGTTGGTAAAAACCATCTAATTCTAATCTTGTGTATCTATGTGTATTTAAGTGTATATGCATATGGTATATATTTGTAGTATTTACCCCAAATTGATGAGAGTCTCTGTGTTTCCACAGATCTTAAACCTCACTCAGGCACTGAGAGATGGGAAGAGTCCCGTGCAGCTGGTGCAGATGCCGTGTGTGATCGTGGAATGCAGTGGCGGCCATGGCCGGGTTGTCAACCTCAGCTGCTCCTTCACCCAAAAAGTCCACTGCAGGAAGCCGTTCTTTTCCTCCTGGTAGCAGATGTAAGGGGAACAGCTGTGTGGTTGTTACCGTGTCCATAAAATATTACAATGATGTAAATCTGCTGCTGAGAGCACCAGTTGCCAAAACCTCAAAATAATTTAAGACTTTAAATATATAGAAAATAATGCTATATTTTGAATGTAATCAAAAGTTTACGATTTTTTGTCCAAATATTAAATTTCTATTTCAGGGAATAGGTGATATATCTCCTATATTGTATTTTTATAGAAAAAATGTATTTTATGTTGTTATTACCTTAAAAAGTAATTTCATGGTTTACACATGCTAGCATGACTATAATTCTATAGCATTCCAACTAGAAGACAAAGATTGACTTTGAATACAGTAGTAACATTTTTTATACTGTTTAAACATGAGAAGAATCTTCTTGCATTCATTCCAAAAAAAGAAAAAAAAAACCTTCAAGGGTGACCAAGAGAGAAACTGCTCTTGTAGAATCTGGTTGTAGTTAGTAGATAGAGCAGACAGGGAGGATAAAGCAACTTTACCTTCATTTTAAAAGCTGCTGTTTTAAAACTGGAATCAGGTGCCCAATGGTAGTCATTACCAGGAACCTGAAAGTTAAATTTTGCCTAAGTGACAGATGACGATATTAATTTTTCTACTTTGGTGTATTTGCTGATGGATTATTCTGTTTTAGTGAGGGAGAAGCCCCCCCCCCCTCTTTGAGGCAGGATTTTCCTGTGTAGCCTTGACTGTCCTGGAACTCACTCTGTAGACCAGGCTGGCCTTGCACTCACAGAGATCTACCTGCCTGTGCCTCCGAAGTGCTAGAATTAAAGGCATGTGTCACCACTGCTCAGCTTTTTTTTTTTAAGGAAATAATTGAGATTTGAATAGAATAGTATTTAATTAAGGTAGCTATCCAGTATTTTTAAATTACCACATTGCCCTAAAATTTACCATTTGTTTCTCATATGGGATCAAATAATTGAAAAGTAGTACTTCCAAATACTAATTCTAATCAATTTAGTACTGCAGTTAGTGTTAGACAGCACTGCAGAGTAAACCATCCCCTGAAGTGTATCCTGAATTTCAGTTTGGGGTCCTGAGTTATAGAGCCTTGGAAACAGAAGACCCACTTTGAATCGGAAGGGAAATGTCACTGAAACCATCCAACACTGATTTTAAACTTTTGTTTTTTGTGCATCTTGAGCATCTGTGTATTCTTTGGAATTTGTAGCAGTGTTTAGTCACCAGCTGATGGAAATGGAAATAAGCCCCAAGAGAAAAATGTAACTCTAGAGAAGAAAGCATTGATGTCTTGCTTCAGGCTCAAAACCAGTAACCAGTATTGCCCATGCTCGGGCACACTGGACAGTTGGTGGTTGGCCTTGCTGTTTGGGTTTAAGTTTGCTGTCTTAGGATTTTTTAATGAGCTTTTTTTTTTTTTTTTTTTTTTAATGAAAAGTATATAGGTGGTTAAATTAGGGTGTGGGCAGACACAGCCTGTTTCTCATACCTTTACCTTTGTCTTGGTGGATGTAACGAACAAGCACACTGCTACCCTGAGGAGTCAGTTGGAAATCCGTGTCCTCCTACCTCTTCTGACCTTTCATTAGCTCGGCCTGAGATAATGGAAACCTGACTGGAATATCAAATTAAACCTCCACTGTTGCTAAATACTAGTCATTGAAATGTGCCTTTCAAAGATGTCTTCTTCAGGAACAGGCATAATTGCCTCTGCTGTGGATATGGCTTTCACAAACAATTTTTTTTTCAGTATTTTGAGAATTTCTATATTAATTTTTATAACAAAGAACCTAGTATATTGCTACGTTTTATACTCTAAAATTAAAATAGTTGAAGACTATTTTTAAATGTCTGACCATGTTAGAATAGTTGAGGTATTTAAAGATTACAAATGACAGTACTTAGGCTGTGTTTGTAAGCATTCATGAACCTAATTCTTATTTAAATATTGTGGGACTTTTTAATGAGCATATTTATATTGTCAAATATGATAAGCAAAAGGAATAAAAATCATTGTCTTGAGGTCACTGTGCTCCTGTGTCTTAAATGTTTAGAATGTTTCTAGTTACATTTATAAACAAGAAGTCACTAATGGTGATAGGGCTTGTTTTTGACTTACTGTTCAAGGGGATATAGTCCATCACTACTGTGGGGTTGGCATGGAGCAAGAAAGTGAGGCACCCAAGTGAGGCAAGAAAGGAAGCATTGCTCTAAGTAACAGAGAGTCCAAAACACGAAGCTAACAAGTGGTCTTGGCCCACCCACGCTCACCCTGTATACAGGAGCTTGGAAAACAGAACAATGGGAAACTTTACATCAGTTAAATGTGACTACAGCTTGTAACATGGTCTCAAAAGTACAATGTAATAATCTGCTAACATACCCAGAATGAGAACATCGCAGAGATGGACCAGTGAAGCAGAGCAAACAGGAATCTGGCCTTTAGGAGTGTTACCATGCTGCCCAGGTCGGTCTTGCTCACCCTTGTGCGCTCAGTGAGCCCTTCAGCCTCCCCGGTAGCTGGGTCCACAGGTGTGCATACCACCATATGTAGTTCAACCTAACGTTTCAAAACATGCCTGAGGAATATCCAAAGCAAAGAACATCACGTTAAAATCGGATCTAAAGGAAGCGAGTAAGCCACAGAGGCAAGCAAGCTCTCAATACACGAAAGCTGACAGAACTCAAAACAAAAGCCAAAAGATAAAAATAGTGTCAGAAATAAACTAGAACATGAACAGCAATAAAAACCTGTTTTGAAGTAAAATAGAACATGAACAAATAGACAACACAAAAGATCAGAGCAAAAAGCAGAGTGTTGAAATACCTAGATTATTAGCTGTGCATCTCCAGTCTGTTAGTCTTGTCAGGTGTCAGTGAGATAACCGTGGCCCCGCATGTTCCTTTGTAGAGGCTGAAAGAATCCGCTTTCTTTTCCTTTAGGCCAGTCATGTCTTAGCAGCAGTCTGTTACTGTCCATTACTGTTGTTGTGGCATTTGGACTTGAACCCAGGGCCTCATACATACTGTGCAAGTTCTTTTCCATGAGCTGTGTCTGCAGTACCCTTTTTGTTTTATTTCATTGACGGGATCTCTCTAAATTGTCCATGTTGTCATTGTCCAGGTGCGCCTCAAATGTATTATCTTTTTTGTTTTAGTCTGAGTAGCTGGGAGTGCAAGAGTGTGCCTTACAGACGGCACAGGATATTCACTTGCAAATACCCCGTGATTGCATGGGGCCTGCCTAGATATGGGTGTTCTTGTGTGTGTTCGTGTGTGTGTGCAGGTGCGCCTGTATGCACGCGGAGGCCAGAAGCTGGCACCAGATGTCTTCCTCAGTTGCTCCGTGCCTTTGTTTTTGAGGCAGAACCTCTCACTGAAACTGGAGCCAGCCAATTGGCCAAAACTAGTTGACTGGCTAACTCCCGGTGTTCTCCTGTCTCTGCCTTTGTGTGCTAGGATTGTAAGCATATACCACCATGGCCAGCGTTTCACATGCAGGCACCTTACTGAGCCACTGTCTCAGCCCCACGCCATTTTGTAGTGCTGATTGAACCCAGGTCCTTACACGTGCTAACGCACCCTTGCCACCGAGCTACAACCTTAGTTCCTTTCCTATTTAAAATTTTATTTCTCTTCCATTTTTACGGATGTGTGCTATGTGAGTCGATGTGCCCCACTTGTGTTGGAGATCCTGGGGTAGAGAGTTCGGCATTGGATCCTTTGGAACTGGAGTTACATGTTGAACTACCATGTTAGTACTGGCTATCAAATCCATGTCCTTTGGAAAAGTAACGATCAGAGAAGAAATACGACGATTTGCAAATGATTTAGTTACGCATTTAGAAAAGTCAAAAATCTACACAGACATCTCATCTATTAGGATTGAAAACTAATTTTTTAAATTAATTTTAAAAGGTTTATATAGTAGCAAAATTAGAAAAATAAAAATTTAAAAACCACTATTTGTCAATAGTATCAAAACATATGAAATCTTAGGAATAAGTCCAACTGAAGAGACAGTGGGTTTCCACACCAGACTATGAAAGAGCACTGAAAATAATGACTTAGGGGTTGGGTACAGCCCAGTGCTAGAGCTCTGCCCTCTATTCTCAAGTCTCTTCACATTCAATTCTCAGTATCACACAAAATAAGATATTCTCACATGAACAGAGGGCTTAACAACTACTTCTCAGATACATCATTTGAACACAAACTACTGTGAATCTTTGGTTAACATCGAAAAGGTAGTTCTGAAGCTCGTATGAAAATGTTATGGGTAAAATAACCGGAAAAGAATGGTGGTTGGGAGGTTCTTTACTGGGTCTCAAGCTTCAAAAGCTGTTGCTAGGCAGTGTGGTACCCATAGAAAGAGAATTCTGATTTCTCAGTAGAGAATTCAGGAAGACATCCTACCCGTGTGGCAAACTGATTTTAAAGATCCCAAGGTAATTCAGCAGAGAAAGAGCCTTTTTCAACAAAGGATACATGCAATAAACCAGATAACAAACCATTTGTGTGCGTGCGTATGACATATCAACACCCAGGTGCCCTTTACCTCATATCCAGACCTACAAGAGTATGTAAATGTATTATATGGCTAATATTCCCTTATAAGTGAATATCATAAGTATATGTCATGCATGTCATTCTGGTTCTGGGTTACCTCACTCAGGATGATCTTTTCTAGTTCCATCCACTTGTCTGCAAATTTCATGATTTCCTTGTTTTTAATAGCTGAGTACTAATTCCATTTTGTAAATGTGCCACAATTTCTGTATCCATTCTTCAGTGTAGGGACATGTAGGTTGTTTTCAGATTCTGGCTATTACAAATAAAGCTGCTATGAACATAGTTGAGCAAATGTCCTTGTATGGTGGAGCATCTTTTGTATATATCCTCAGGAGTAGTATAGCTGGGTCTTGAGGTAGTGCTATGCTACTCCCAATTTTCTGAGGAAGTGCCAGATTGATTTCAGAAGTGGTTGTACAAGTTTATACTCCCACCAGCAATGGAGGAGGGTTCCCTTTTAACTAAATCCTAGCCAGTATGTGCTGTCACTTGAGTTTTTGATCTTAGCCATTCTGATAGGTGTAAGATGGAATCTCAGAGTTGTTTTGATTTGCATTTCCCTAGTGACTAAGGACAGTGAGCATTTGTTTCTCCACCATTTGATATTCCTCTATTGAGAATTCTCTGTTTAGCTCTGTACCCCTATATAATATAGGCTAACCGTACTAAAATCCACAGACCTAAAGAGGCTAAAGAACAAGGACCCTAGGGTGGATGCTTAAATCTCATTCAGAAGGGCAAATAGAATAGACACCAGAAGCAGTTGAAGAGGGAACAGGAAGGGAGCCTAACATAGAGGTCCTCTGATCCCCAGCAGGGGATCAAAGCAGATACTGAGACTCACAGCCAAACTTTGGCCAGATCACAGAGACTTTTATGGAAGGAGTTGGGTGGGGGGATAGAAGGACTCAAGAGGGCACAAGAGCTTCACAGGGAGACCAACAACGCCAGCAAATCTGGGCCCAGGGCCCCTGAAAATAGTGATGCACCAACCAAGAAGAGATTGGTGAAGAGATTCATGAAGAGGACCTACACCCCCTGCTCAGATGTAGCCCATAGGCAGTTCCATCTCCACATGGGTCTTCTAGTAAGGGGAGCAGGGCTGTCTCTGACATGGTCTCTGATGCCTGCTTTTTGATCACTTCCCCTGGGTGGAGCAGGCCACGGAGGATGCAGGCAGTCCTGATGAGACTTGATAGGCTGGGGTCAGATGTAGTAGAAGAGGTCTCCCCCTTTCTGAGGACTAGGGGATGGTTTTAGGGGGGAAGAGGGAGGGAGGATGGGACAGAGAGGAGATGAGGGAGGGGGGCTACATAAAGTGAATAAGTTATAAAAACAAATTACAAAAAAGTATGTAAATGCCAGGCACAGAGGAACATTACTGTAATCTCAGCACTTACGAGCCAGAGGCAGGGGATCACAAATTTAGTGGCTAGCTTGTGGTGTGTGGGACTCCCTCGCCACCAACAAAAGAGAACTGAGAATTCCAGAAGCAAATAGGGGATCTTACTGACCATCTTAGGGTTTCTATTGCAGTGATAAAACACCATTAACCAAACACAACTCAGGGAGGAAAAGGCTTATTTCATCTTACAAGTGCATACCGTAGTCCATCTCTAAAAGATGTCGGGACAGGAATGCATCTATCTGTGTTCAAGATTTGGGTTATTGCCTAAAAGGACCATGTGCACAAATAGATTCCTTGGCGTATGATGACAAAAGATAGCAAGGCTATTGTAAACTTGTTCTCTTATCAGACAACGGAGAGTTAACCTGGGATTTTGAAGAAAAGGCTGCTGTGGTCGCTGGGAAGAGGTGTGTCCAGGAGTCACGCCTTCAGGAACGATGGGACATTTCAAAAGGTGTTGGTTCAGGTTCCTCAGAGGCTGGGTCTGGCCTGTGAAAAACTAGTCCGGCAGTTGCAGTGGCTACAGCTCCTGTGAGTCTTCTTGCTGGTCTTTTAGATCTGAACACTGAGAGCACATGATTTCAACAAGCAGCAGCTAATCCCTGTAGGCAAAGAGGTACTTCTTTTCCCTTTGACAACTACAGAAGTCCCACCTTAAGGCTTCAGAAGCTCCAGGCAGTAGCAGCAAAGAGCTGGCAAGTGTTCTCCTGCCTCAGGAGTGAGGGTTATGTAAACATCCAGGGAACGAGGCCTAGGAAACTGGTCTAACCAGATGTAGGTGCCTGATGCCACCAGGGCAACACTGCCTATTACCTTCCTGTGGTTTATGGAACATTGTCTACTCCTTGGAGTCATGGGGAAGTACACTGAACCACATGCTGGCTCGGGCCAGCCTGGCAACTGCATAGCTTGGTTACTAAACAGTTTAGCGTCCGGCCACCCTTGCTCCCGCCCAAGAAGATGGGAGCGCATCACTGGCCCAGATCTCTAGCTAAAATTCCATTATCTTCACGGGACAGGTTCTGCTTCACTTGTCTGTGCA